TACACTCACTGGCCACTTTATTAGGTACAACGATCCAACTGCTCATGCAAATGTATAATCAGCCAATCACATGGCAACAACTCAATGCATTTAGGCATGTAGACATGATCTAGATGATCTGCTGCAGTTCAAACCGAGCATCAGAATGGGGAAGAAAGGTGATTTAAGTGACTGTGAACATTGTTGGTCTGAACGGGCTGGTCTGAGTACTTCAGAAACTGCTGATCTACTGGGATTTTCACTCACAACCATCTCTAGGGTTTACAAAGAATGGTCTGAAAATTGGAAATATCCAGTGAGTGGCTTTTTTTGTGGGTGCGAATGATTGCTGATGCCAGTGGAGAATGACCAGACCTCCAGGACCAGGAATGTGGTGCATGTAAGGTGTACCTAATAAAGTGGCCATTGAGTGTGTATCTTGAAAATGCGCTACTTTTTAATGCATTTAGGGTTTTTTGTTGTTGTTGTTGTCAAAAATCTTGCATTTTTGATTAAACTATACCTGTGGGATAGTGGGGAAAAACATGAACATGTTTAACCTTGTGTGTATTGTTCAAATTGACTACCCTTTGGTTATGTTGGTGGCTGTTTTTGCCCCATTGACTTCCATTATAATGACATTTTTAGTTTGCATAGCATTAATGCCAAATAATCATGTGTTCTTGATCATCAGGCATCAGTTGGCACCGTTAACTCTTCAGATAGGCCTGTGCAAAAAAACGTTTCTGGTTTGTACAGAGTTTTAAGGAATATAAAAACATATTATTATATTATATATATATATAACTTCATATAAAAGCCAGTAACTGCTTTTTTTTTTTTTTTGCACTGCAACTGTTGATCAGTAGCAATATTTACAAATTGTACCTCTTCACAACAGAGAAGACGACCAAGAATGCACAATTATATGCTGTCATGACTTTGCAACCAAAAAATGTCATTATAATGGAAGTCAATGGGGCAAAAACAGCCCCCAACATAATGAAAGAGTAATCAATTTCAGTGTATTGATGAATTTGAAAATAAATTCAAAACATTTTTCCCAAATATGTGTAAAAATAAGATGTCACCAAATACCATTCCATTTGCTGAAACAGAGACAATTGTGGCCAAATTAAGACTCAAAATCAGCTCAGAGAGGATGGAAAACATCCCCAACAGCACACAAGGGTTAAGGCAGGGGTGCCCAAACTCAGTCCCGGAGGGCCGATGTCCTGCATATTTTAGTTCCAACCCCAATTAAATAAACCTGAACCAGCAAATCAAGCTCTTTCTAGGTATACTAGAAACTTCCAGGCGAGTGTGTTGAAGAAAACTGGAGCTAAACTATGCAGGACACCTCTGGGTTGAGGCTTGGCTCTTTGTTTTGATCATATAATATGCTCCTATATTCCAGAAACAAAATACTCAAATTTAGGTGAAAAATCATCAAAACACTGATGATAATAATAAAAACGTTGGCGGGGTAAGAGTTAATTATACAGTGCCATATGGGTTCAGCCTCCAGCACTACATTCCAATAGATGAAGATGATCTGTTTTTAAATGACTGATTAATTGGACACTAATTGCCAGTTGAACATGTCTGTGTACAGATTCTGTATAAAGTGCTGTGGTTTATACTCTGTTTTTAATAAATGTGTCCCTGGTCTGATTTTCACAGATTGTATGGACTCTTTCTTCAGTCGTGAAATAAGTAAGGTGTGGTGGAAGTCAAAGAATGTTGTCTATGTATGCATGCATGCATGCATATTTCCCCATTCTTATTCATTCATTTTCTTGTCGGCTTGGTCCCTTTATTAATCTGTGGTCGCCACAGCGGAATGAACCGCCAACTTAACCTGCATTTGTTTTACGCAGCAGGTGCCCTTGCAGCTGCAACCCATTACTGGGAAACACTTATTAACACTCAATTTTAGCTTACCCAATTCACCTATAGCGCATGGGTTTGGACTTGTGGGGAAAACCGGGGAGAATATGCAAACTCCACACAAACTTGCCAACTGACCCAGCCAAGACCTTAAAATGGTTCATAAAAAATTAAAAACTTTGAGCTCTGGTGACTGTGGAGGCCATTTGAGTACAGTGAACTCATTGTCATGTTCAAGAAACCAGTCTGAGATGATTCACGCTTTATGGCATGGTGCGAGATCCTGCTGGAAGTAGCCATCAGAAGATGGAGACACTGTGCTCATAAAGAGATGGACATGGTCAGCAACAATACTCTGGTAGGCTGTGGCGTTGACACGATGCTCAATTGGTACACCACAGAACTGCCGCTCACTGGATATCCTCTCTTTTTCCGATCATTCTCTGTAAACCCTAGAGATGGTTGTGTGTGAAAATACCAATAGATCAGTGATTTCTGAAATAGTCAGACCAGTCTGGAACCAACAACCATGCCACATTCAAAATCACTTAAATCCCCTTTCTTCCTTATTCCGATGCTTGGTTTCAACTGCAGCAGTTCGTCTTGACCATGTCTACATACCTAAATGAGTTGCTGCCACGTGATTGGCTGATTAGAAATTTGTGTTAATGAGCAGTTGGACAGGTGTACCTAATAAAGTGGCCAGTAAGTGTAAATCAACCTATTTTAAGTTACAGTGATGACATTTAAATGCTATATGGGGTTCTAAACGTAACAAATGAATAACTAAAACAGACAATAGAGCAAACAACGCTCCCATTTCTGTGTCCATGCTGTCTTCCGGTAGCGTTAAAGCCATGTGTTATAGTCGTGATAGGGGCTTGACGAATAAGGGAAGAATACGCAATGACACAAAAGCCCCAATCAGGTAGCGAATCTCAGCAGCCCCGCCTCCGTTTTCAGATGTCTCCGTTTTCCCTCATCTACACTGAGACGGAGCAGCAGCATTTCGGAATGAAAACAGCCTCTCCAACATTTCCAAAACGATCCGTTTTCAGCGCTTTAGAACTCCGGCGTAGTGTGGACGGATGGCGTAACCGTAGCAAACCTTATACTAACGCATTAGTGTAAACGAGGCCTCAGACACAGGCACTCAACAGAGCAAGTGATGTCACAGTGAAGGGTAGGGTTAGATGTTGACGTTCCTGAAAGTGCAGGTCTTCACGGATTTGCAGAGCAATGATTTTTAGAAAGCGCCACCTGCATATCAAGCAATGCAGGCAAATTACAGTGTTGTTTAGATTAAACCCAGATAAGCGCCATGCCTGACTCTGTAGCGCTGATATGATCAGGAATGTGAACAGACGGACATCTTTCCGCGGTCAGCAGTTTCACATCATGTCAACAGAGGCCGATGCTGCTGTTTTATGTCTCATAGTCAAAAAAAACTCCACCATTAGAGTATTAAATGTGCATTTATATTACAATTATTACTTTATTTAGTTTAGGTAGATCATACATTTGCACACTGCACGATTATCCAATTGTTTAAATATATTAATAGTGTAAAAATTATTCAAAGTATCATGTCAAAGTAGACCTTTAATGCGTGGCTTGCTGTGTTTTCGTCTGTTTTCGTTTGTCGTCATGCTTACTAATTTCTCAGACGTGATTTAGTTCTCAAGTTCAGCCTTTATATGTTATTTTCAGCTTTGTTTGCTCGCTGTCTGAGGATATTTGTTCTTGGCACACAGTTCCATTGTGTCCTTTCATGTTGGATTACGCTCTATTATTCTGTGTATTACAGGGGAAGCATATTAGATCCGCTTCGCCTAGCCCTTTCCTCATCCTCTTACAATAAAGCAGTTGAGGAAAAACAAACTGTTCTCACCAGGAATCATGCATTATCAGAAAAGTGGCTAATATATATGAGCAATATCACATGAGTAGCAGTGCGATATGGCTGTATATCGGCACTTGTGGGAGGCGTGTGTTGGTCAGTGCCCCCACCAGTGCTGATATACAGCCATATCGCACTGCTTCGAGTGTGATAATACTCGTTTGTGCAACAGTTTAACGGCATAATTGTGTATATAAAAACAAAATCAAACATGGAGAGTCT